TTATGGGGTAAATCTGGATCACGTGAATACATAAAGGTGTATTCACTGAGTGTGAATTCAAAGTGAATTCAAAATTCAAGATTTAAATAGCCAAATTGAGAAAAAAAAGTTAACTATGCGTTCACTTTGGCTGCTTTGGCCTCAAAGTTGAAATTTACTTTGGGAGTGTGAGGACATTTCTGGGTAACAGGTTAACTGGGAATACTAAAAGGTTACATCAAATACCTGATAAAGAGAATACAGGTCTACTGAACAGCTTTATCAGACAGGATATTTATTTTGTCTTATTTACAAAAATTGCATTGGTAGAACCTAAAATTCCCAAATCTGTGCTTACCAAAGTTAGAAGGTTTCTAAACCCACAAAGTGGACTATTAGTTACATTAAATTCAAATGACAAGTGTCATCAAATGTTATTCTTGCTTTTTAGGTGTATATATTATATTTAATTGCACTACTTATACTAATACACGTGCACTTTTTTAAAATGATGTGTATTTATTTATTTTGTTTTCTTTAGGAAATGTAACTTTTTTTATCTGACTGAGCAGCCATGTTTGGGTAGATTCTATGGTTTCTGACCAAATGCTGCCCTCTCTAACTTGCCTACTTCAGGTTCACATAGATCAATCACAGCAGCAGCCATGTTAGGTTGAGCAGCAGTTGGTACAATAACAGTAGAATGAGACCCAACATGGTTCCTAAGGTTAAAAAAGTGAAATTTTCTCCCCCAAAAAATCACTATACATATTTTTTTTTAAATTATCACGTTTTATCAAATGTAATAAACTTAAAAAAAAAAATGAAAAGTGAAAATGTGATGATAGTTGTTGTTTAATGAGTCCCTTCAACAAGTAAATAATTTAGGAAATCATGTGGTTTGAAACAAGTGGCTAGTAAACATCTACACTGCGCCACAGATTCACAGAGGGCTTAGAGGGACAATGACCTGCCCTTAAAATTGTTCCCTTGCATGAATCTGCTGGGAAATTCTCAATTCACCACCGCACGTATCCTAGCTAACATTAAAAAGCGCCACAAAAAAGGCAATTAACCCCTTAACCCCTTAAGGACCAAACTTCTGGAATAAAAGGGAATCATGACATGTCAGACATGTCATGTGTCCTTAAGGGGTTAAGGACACATGACATGTCTGACATGTCATGATTCCCTTTTATTCCAGAAGTTTGGTCCTTAAGGGGTTAAGGACACATGACATGTGTGACATGCCACTGTGTACACCGATTACTGCAGATACAACAATGAAAATAGTATACTTAGGTGGCTCTTGGCAAATCCAGCGTTCTCGTGTAAAACAAAAAGCACAAATACCAAATAATCGTGCAGTACATCTAAAAGATTGCTTGCAATTGCTTAAGAAAAAAACTTTAATAAAACGCTTAACTGTGTATAATAGATATATAACAATAAATTTATTGCACACATAAAAAGTGCTTGTGTGTATAAAATCCGCAGAGGTGATACTGGAAATGGATGAATACTATTCACCTCAATATTAACGCCTCGCCGAACACACCATTGCCCGCAGCAGTTTGTGAAGCAGTATCAGATTGAAGTTTGCGGAATTCACAGTTATGCCCACTGATGACGTCAGTACATATTACGTCAACGCGTTTTGCCCATCGACTTCATCAGGACGTTAGGTACATATTGATAAAAACAAAATTTAAAAGAGGTAAATAATGTCCAGTTCCAATAGTGGTAACAGAATATAAAAGAAAGTCCAACCTAAGTGTCCTCTCTGTCGTCCTAGAGTGTTGGATACAAGTACAAAGTCTTCAGGTGTAATATAGAAGATAAAAAGAGAGAACAGCCGATAGTGCAATATGTATAGCTCAGATGAAATAAAATTCAAGTAATGGTAGAGAACTCACATTTGTAAGAGCTTCAATCCAGCTATAGGGTAAAGCGCATACATCGGTGTAATCCCCACTTGTGGGATATATGGTGAGTACCTCTTCGTCAGGGATATCCAAAACTCAAAAAGAAGAGAAACAACCAAATAGTGCTCTCTATTTAACTTGCGTCATAGAAATTAGTTTAAAACGTACTTACAAGTACAGAGCAGACCAACTGCTCTTTGATGTCAGCGCTGGTGGAATAATCCCCACCTAGGATTTCTTGTGCTGCCAGGAGCTTCCAGGAGTGATATTTAAAACCAAAATAAAAGATATAAAATATAATAAAAAGCAAAGTAAAAAGCCAGGATAAGTTTAAGCCAGGATATAAATTTGTGTATAAAAGAAGGATAATTGGTACTAGTAAATGACCAAAAAAACTTTAATTTTGAAATACACAATATTAGATTTCCCTAACGCGTTTCGTCTACAGACTTTATCAAATGGAATACATATTGGCCATCTTACTAATGAGATAATTTAAGGGCAATCAAGTCCTGCCTCCACAGGCTCTATTGGTCAAAAGGTTGCATACAGACCGGGCAACACTCATTTTGATAATCAGCTACACATAAAAACCTCTAACATATTACAACGTATGTACACAATAATCATATGTCTCACAATAATTATTAACTCTAGCTAACATGCTTGGTCATGTGAGTTGCCACACTCCTGCAATGGCTAATCACATAGCCATAGCATGCATGAAGCCCAACTGAAGTAGCACTAGCACGTCATGTGATGCGTGTAAATGACCATCCCAATGACGGAAGGATGTCTCCACCCTGGACCAAACTACGATGTTTTAAATTTAGAAGGGGAAAATAGTTATAAATCAGCAGATTATTTTATGAAACGTAAAATCTGACCTTCTCTACTTCATTTTAACATACTTCACCTGCTTCAGCACAACCTTTGACGAATTAGGGATTTTTCGGTGTGATGAAGGCTAAACTAGAGAGCACAAATATTAATACACAGAAACAAATGCTTGTCATTTTGGAAGCCATTGCATTGTCAGTGCAATGAAAGTTATATCTCTCCCATATTTAATTTGACCTTTCACAGTGTTTATTTTTACATAATGACATAAGATGAGTTTGTAGTCTTTCACAATGGATGTCTTGGGGACGTGTCTCATGATCTAAAATGCTACAGGTTTTGTTACCCCAGATGCTGTGGGCTCATGTTAAACAAAGACCAATCCCTGTATTAGTAAAGAATAGAAAAATAAACCTGTTTTAGTTTCAACACATTAGATACTTGTATAAACTTGTAGGATAAACTGCGTAACTCTATAGATTCAACACTAGTTTCAGCGGAGTTCAACTGCCCATTAAGCCATCATGTTCAACATCCAGGACCAGGAGACATGTGGACATGCTCATGTTAGTAAATATAAGGGGTGATTTATTGAGCCAACATTTTAGGTACAAAATTTTATATAAGGACCAATCACCATGGAAACGAATAGAATGTCTCTCAACATTTAACACTCTCTTCACAAAACAGAATTTATTTTGTCTCAATAAATTTCCCCATAGAACCATGTTTAACAAGGCAAATAGGGTGCTATTCTATGGCAGCATGCTACATATGGAGCAATCACCATGCGAACCTGTAGAATGTATCTAAACATTCAGCACTTTGCCCAATATTTTTAGGAGTGATTAATTTGGTACATTACATCTAAAGGTGTTGTGTAATTCAACAGTAAAAACTATCCATCTTTCAGAGGATAATGTTTGCGGAAATTTGTTAAAATCAATATTAGTCAATCCTGAAAACCATGTTTTTAAATTGTTGTTGGATAGTGACAATATCCCTGGGTATTAGAATACGTTAGAGTTTTCCTGCTACCTCTCACAATACAATTCTCACATTTACCACCAAATTTTTACGTACACTGTAATAATGCATTAAAAACAGCTGCATTGGCATTTAAAAACTTCGGTTTTGAAGGAATCCAATGTGACAGCCAATCCTTGAGCTCACATTTCCCCAAAGTTTGGAGAATTAGTGAGCATTTCAATATGCGGAATTTCAATAGAGGAACACTCAACTGATTTTTTTTTAACAATTTAGTAGATATACTAGTTGTGCATTTTACCTTTGGTCGTATATGAAAATATAGCTTCAAAAAACAGCAGACCTACTGTCTGCAGCTTTTGCCAGGCCTGCCCTCCATCTCTGAGATAGACTTTCAGTCTGTGCTGGGGAATAAAACAATCAGATGCTTATCATTGAGAACGCATGCGACAAGAGCCCAGCTTTTCTATGCTTCTCAAACAGATGTCCTACAGCTTATTGAGAACTAAGTAAGGCAGGTACAAGATAGCTTAGCACGCCAGACACTTCTGTTAGCTCTGTGGACCTAATGGTAGTGCCTGCATGACAGCCAGGGAGGTCTTTCTGTCCCTAATTATAAAAGCGACCATTTCTATTGAAATCAGCACATTTACAATTATGACAGACTCCAGACAAACGAATCACTCAGTATTTGTAGAAATGCAAGCTCCGTAAGCTACTGACAGCCCTGCCCTCTTTCCCCAACAAAAGTCTTTGAGAAGCCCCCGTGATGTAGACACTCATGCGCACAGTTGTTCATTCACATTTCTCAATGCGCTGTCGTACAGCTCCCTGAGGAGTCTTAGCCGGCACATGCATCTGCCACATGAATTGTGTTTCTAAATATGTGAAATGCACTGCCAGGGTTATTCAATAAACTCAGAATTGTCATTAAATATAAAAAAAAATATAAACAATTTTGAAAATGGCTGAGTTGAAGCATCGCAAGATCAGCAATGTTTTTCCATTGGTATATAATTCACAAAACGTTTATTGAATAACCTTGTCAGAGTTTACTCTTTGTTATCTGTGTGAACAGCCCAAACATTTATTTTAGACGTTATGAATATTATACATGATGTGAATCTGTAGAAAAAAATGTACTGGAATGTGTTTTAAGGTATGTCCTTTAATCTACATGTGGCATTGCTTTGTCAATGGGTGTAACATCTAACTCGAAGCCTAGAGCCTTTAAAAAGACTGACACAGATTAATAGCCTCATCAGACAACTTACACTCACACACAGAACACACACAATGCTCTATTAGATCCTAGGAAACCCTGATTTTACATCAGCTGCCTGGTAAGTTTTTTTGTATATCTCATTTATCTCCTTTATTTAATGTTTTCTATTTAAATATATATATATATATATATAAAAAGCAACAATAAAATATTTATTTTGCTTTTAGAAAAAAAAAAGTGAAATTTTTAGGGTCTTATTGGATAATGCAGAATAGTTACTTTAAGATAATTTTATAGTATATTATAAGATAAACTGTTCAAACTGCGCAAAATCTTTGCATAAAATAGATATGTTATACTTAAATCACAAGGTTAATATGATTATATTTAAACTTTCTCCATACTTTTAGTTCTAGTAAATTACTTTTCAAATTGGTGAATTAACAGATTATTATACTTGTAATAACCATTATTTATTATATTAATCAGGTCCTCTGATATAATTTTAACACTTTGTTTTCTCATAGTGCTGTAGAGCAAATGCAAACACAATGCATATTTTAATTCATCCTTTGCAGACAGGCACTGGGTGGACATGATAGTGATTTTCTTGTGATTTATTTAAAATGTACACAATATGTGGAAAATATCAGAGTAGATTAAAATATTATGTTTTTTTGTTTTTTCTCTGAACACAGAATTAAAAAGCGAGTTTCAAAATTTGGTCAAAAATTGATCATTTGGATATGTTCTCAAACTCAGCTATAGCCCCAGCTTGTTTTAGCCTAAATTTTGCAACCTGTTTTCAAGTCACTACATTTAAAAATAATTCTGTTTAGTGAATAAGCCCCATTGTTTCGAGGGAAATCCATTGATCATTCTTAATCTTGGCAGAAAAAAACCCGATGATTTTATGTAATAAAATGCAAGCACTTTTAAATAGCTTAGGTCAAATTTAAAATGTAGAAATCGATCAATAGACTGCCAACTAAATATTAAATGTGCTGCAATTTTTTATTTTTTTTTTAAATAATACTTTGCGTTCTTATCCACATTCACAAAAATATCTAGACACAGTTTTGTGCTCTGTAGCCTATTTTAGAATGACATGAACTGCGCTTCTGTGTAGGGTGAAGGCAGTACAAACCAATTTATAGCTGTGCAGGTGATTTTTCCCAAATCACCTGTTTTACATTGAATATTGGAAACTGGATTGAAAATCAATGTTGAGTTAACAAACCCCATTCAGTAACTGGAATAAACCGTTTCTCTGCTATGATAATCCAGAGGAGCAGGAATAGGGACAGATACTTTGTTATTCACTAAAGTGAGAACTGTTGTGAATTCAATGTTAATTTCACTCTTAAGGCCGAAGTAGCCGATCTGGAAGTAGAGAAGACAAGGTCAATTTTTTCCAGTTCAATTATTCTGGCCTTTAATTTGAAATCCACTTTGAAATCACTTTGAATATCTATCAATACTCACATAATGAGTACTCGCAGACTAGATGGGCCGAATGGTTCTTATCTGCCGTCACATTCTATGTTTCTGTGTTTCTATGTTTCTAATGAATAACCCTGTTATGTGAGCACTCTAAGCATATATATAAGGCAGTTGGCACAAAGATATAAAAAAATGACAATATAAAAAAAAAAAAAACTTTTAATAGCACTAAATTGGCTCAAATACACATGAACGGACTACATCCAAATTGTACAGTTTGTTTTACTGCCCCGAGAACATTTTGTCCAGCAACAGCTGTGTAAAATGACTACAGAATTGATATTTACGATTCTACCCTTTGGCAAAATTGATTAAAATGACAGCTTCTAAAAACACACATTTCTTTAGCAGTTTTCAACTATGTGAAAACGACTGACTTATCTTGTTTGACCAGATTTTCACTGTCTGTTCATGTCGCGAATAATTCTGTCTGCGATGCCTAGCACGATAAGTTAACGTTAGTATGTCACAGCTAAAACAAAAATGCATTATAAAACTTGCTTTGGTTGGATTGTTACCAAAAAGTGGCTTATGGAAATTAGTGCAGCTCAAATTAAAATATAGGCAGATTTATTTGTAGAAATAATTCACAATAAAGCCAAGAATGGAACAAAATCCAAAGAAAGACAGGGTGGACAGGGACGTCAATGGATTGCAATAATGACCTACTAAGCATATATTTTACTTGTAAAAAAATAGAAAGACATTTTAAGAAAATATTGTGCCCAGTTATAATGGGAAAAGTGTACATTGAAATATATTGTCATTTGTTTTCAAAGTGTTATTACTCAAGTGGGAATTGTTGAGAATTGAATTCAAACTAAATTCAAAGTGGATTTCACATTTGAGGAAACAATCGCTGAATTGGAAACATTCTCCACGTTAGTTTGTTTTTTACCTAAAATTTTAACCTAAATTTCAAATCACCACAGTTCACCTTTTGGTGAACAGCCGTGTGTTTTTTACAATCGTGAATATGAAGAACATAAAAGAAGATCAGGAATATAAAGAAAATATAGTATGAACATAAAATACTATAAATATATGATGTAACTGCTAACATTACCAAATGAGGTAGTCTGTTATCTTTAAAACAAGATTATCTCTTCCCAAAAGATATTTGCGTCACCACCGGATTTATTCGGTAATCTCTGTAATGCAACAAATTGAAAACCGATTGGCAAAATAGAGGCTAAAAAAGGTGATTTGGAAAATTATCCTGATACCAAAGATGTTTCCTACACTTTCGATTGTCATTCGCTACGTTTTGACATTCGGATTGTCAGAGTTTAGTGCAAAACATTGGAAATAGAATTTTGTGGATTTTATTGACTAAAATTGAATCTGTGTTTACTACCTAGTTTTCCATAGTTATTGAATGTTACTATTATCAGTTAATTAGCTCTCTTCATTTACTCACTACACAGTTTTAGTTTTCATTATCAAAAAATAAATGTTTCTTTTTTTTGGTTCCTAGGTGACAAACAAAATTTTCAAACCCGTCTTGATTTAAAGACAGCTGTACAGTAAGATGGCTGTAGAAGAAAATAAAGAACGAGCCTGGGTTGGTGTCATACGCCGGATAATAACTCTATCGTTTGCCTTTTTGGTGTTAGCTGGGGTGACTTGGGCTTTTGCAGACAGCATTCCCTTGGCAACAGATGAGTACCGTATCTTGGCTTTTGGGATCTATGGAGCTTTTCTTGCTTTCCACCTCATTATCCAGAGCTTATTTGCATTCCTGGAACACAGGAAGATGCGGAGAGGTGGTCAAGCATGCTCTTATAGCAGGACTGTGGCCTTGACAATCTCAGCTTATCAAGAGGATCCAAACTACCTACGAGAATGTCTGGAGTCTGTCAAGAATACTGAGTATCCTCCCGATAAGTTAAAAATTATCATGGTTATAGATGGTAACAAAGAAGAGGACCAGTATATGATGGACATGTTCAAGGAGGTGTTTGGAAATGAGGATGTAGGAACATATAACTGGAAATACAACTATCATTCTTGGGACATGGCTCAAGGAGCACAAAGTTTCATTGCTGAGGATAATCCAGAAGGGGTTTTAGACAGTGTGTGGACAATCCAAGGGGCAACTTCTGAAAAGCGCTCTGGAGCAATGTATGATAATTCTAATGAACAAATATATGAGGACATTAAGGAGGCAGATTTGCCCGTGTACACTGATATTGTTAGTGAAGATCCAGGTAGATATGAAGTCGAACAGATGATTAAAACCAAGCGGTGTGTGTGCATTATGCAAAAATGGGGAGGAAAGAGAGAAGTTATGTACACAGCTTTTAAGGCTCTTGGAGACACGGTGGATTATGTCCAGGTAAGAGTCTTTCTAAACAAATAAACACAGTTATGACATGGACAAAAATGTGTTTCAGTATAATTTAGAATATCTAAATTGGGAGTTGGGATTTTTACATTTTCTTGATGATAAACTACATGATTTCTTGTCACAGGTTTGTGACTCAGACACCAAGCTTGATCCACTTGCCACTCTCGAACTAGTAAAGGTTTTGGAATCGAATGATCGGTATGGTGCAGTAGGAGGAGATGTGCGAATTTTGAACCTCCAAGATTCCTATATCAGTTTCATGAGTAGCTTGAGATACTGGATTGCCTTCAACGTGGAACGAGCCTGCCAATCCTACTTCGATTGTGTTTCCTGTATAAGTGGACCTCTTGGTATGACATATTTTTAATTTTAAAGCATAGCAACTAACTTAAAATGTATTTATCATGAGCTATTTTATTCTTTAAAACAAATTTAAATTTTATATTTTTAGTGCATGTTTGTATTTTAAAATAATTAGAATGTTATAAAATGTTATTATTATTATAAATTATAATTTTAAGTACATTCACTAAATACTATAATACATAAAATACTTACAATGTATCCTTTCTTTGCGCATGCTTCCAACTCTGGATGTACCAATTGATGTAAGCGTGGTTGACTTGCATTTAGACCTTCAGGAACTGTAATAGAGGGTCAAGATATAAGATATACTGAAAGATGAAAATTGTTCTAATTCTCTAAACTTTGGAGAGGTCCAACAATTAGTAGATCTACTGAGCAGGGTATTTTATTTACACTGGTAGACACTGAACTCTGGCAACCACTGATACATTTGGAGATATTTAGAGGAAAGATATTTAGCTAAGCATTAGATAACTTACAGCTACCTTTAAATCTAGCTCAGCTGCCCAGTCATTTACTAAAGAGAAAGTGAGGCTTTAATGAACAGACAAGACCAAGGAGACACTGGTTGATCAACCTGTTCCATTGAATATCATTCAACTAGAGTACTTTTCAATTTCAAACACAAACCTTCAGCTGGGTTTCTGTACTTTTCTTCCATCCTGTCATCCACCATTACTTTCTTACTACCTTTTAAAGATCTAGAAGGCCCACAGTGAGTGGCAAGCTTGTGTCTGAAGGGACACATTACACTGATAAAGATGAATAATGATATGACGTCTTAGGAAGTTAAAGAAATACTATGGGGTCAGAAACGCAAATATGTATTCCTGACCCTACAGTGTTAAAATACTATCAAGTTCCCCTATCCCCCATTTTCCTGCTAAATGTAGTAAACTCGTATCTTTATTCCAGTATGCTGGTATTGGCTCTGCCCCTGATATCACTCCTTGGCTGACATCATCAGAAGTGAAGATCACAGCCAATCACAATGCTTTCCTATAGGAAAACATTGGATTGGCTGAGATTGTCAGTTCTGATTATCTCAGCCAAGAAGGCGGGCTGGGGGGTGGGAGCCAAACACAGCCCTGGCCAATCAGTATCTCCTTATATAGATACATTAAATCAATTTATTTCTATGCAGAAAGTTCAATGTCTCCATGCAGAGGGTTGAGACACTGAATGTCAGTGCTGCACTCTGTGGAGTGGCTCTGAGGAGTGGCCACTGGAGGTGTCCCTAGGCTAATGTAAACACTGCCTTTTCTCTGAAAAGACTGTGTTTACTGCAAAAAGCCTTCAGGGACTGACTATACTCACCAAAACAAATACAATAAGTTGTAGTTGTTCTGGTTACTATAGTGTGTCTTTAAATAAATATTACAATATAGGTGTATGAGTTGAGTTATCTGATTGTTGCTAAGACATGAAATTGGTATATGTTATGTGGAATTAATCAATTGTTTTTTTAGGTCTATATCGGAATGACCTTCTCCAGACCTTTCTTGAATCGTGGTACAATCAAAAGTTTCTTGGAACGCACTGTACTTTTGGAGATGATCGTCATCTTACCAATCGAATGCTCAGCATTGGTTATGCAACCAAGTATGTATAATGAGACAATCTCTCTACCTCTCATCTCAAAACTCTTTGTGATATTTATAAAATATGCTGTTCTTCACTTTACAAAAGCAGCTCCACCACCCCATTTTGAACAGGCTTGCATGGTATCAAATATTAAATGTAAATTCATCCCGATAATGTCAAGGAGGGTAGTGGGCTGTCAATTTTATACATAATTTTGGTTTAAGTTATACATATTTTAGAAATTCGGGTAGCTTAATTTTAAGGCTGGGCTCTTTGCTCATTCCAGTTATTACAGGTGTCTTCTTTACTGGTCCTCCCTTGGCCTGTTATCTGTTCAATCACTAAAATAGTTGTAGAACACAGAATCTGTAGAAGCAGAAGATTTCTGTCCCTGTATCAATTGATATGGTTTTAGTGATGTCACGTACCAGCCCCTCATCTTGTTTGAAACTTTGTTGTGTACCACCTCACATTCCTATGCCCATCATTTATAGTTCCCTTACCCATCATTTAAATTTAAGCAGCTAATCAAAATAGAGCATTGATTTCCGTGTCCCTATCTGCAGGGCATGTAGGGGTAGACAATCTCCATAACGTTTACATAAATATTGATACTTTTTTCAGTATGTAGTTTGATATAAAATGCATTTATAATAAGATATTACCAAACCTGTTATCAGACTAGATTCCCATATGCAAAATAAACACTAAAACAATTTAATTAATTAAGATGTAGCTATCCAATCTTTGAAATAATGCCAATGAGAGAAAACATGCTACTCGCATTTGATAAATGGAATGTTTGTATTACATTACTAAAATGTGTCAGTGAAATGCAACAAATATATAACTGAGATCTTATCCTTTTAGATACACTGCACGGTCAAAATGCTACTCAGAGACACCTGCTCAGTTCTTGCGATGGCTGAATCAACAGACACGTTGGACCAAGTCTTATTTCCGAGAGTGGCTCTACAATGCCCTTTGGTGGCACAAGCACCACCTCTGGATGACCTACGAGTCTATAATTGCTGGTATTTTCCCATTTTTTGTCACAATCACAGTGATAAAGCTTTTCTTCAGCTGCCATTTGTGGGACATCATATGGGTCCTTATCACAATTCAGCTTATTGCCACCATCAAAGCCTTGTATGCTTGTTTCCTCCGAGGCAACATGGTCATGATATTCATGTCACTATATGCTGTCCTGTACATGGTGGGTCTTCTACCTACAAAATACTTTGCCATTATCACCATGAATAAGAGCAGTTGGGGGACTTCGGGGCGTAAGAAGGTAGTAGGGAACTACATGCCCCTTCTTCCATTGTCCATATGGGGGTCCATTCTGTTAGCAGGTATCATATACACTCTTGTAATGACATTCACAAAGGCTGGTTGTGCCATTCTTGACGTTGAGCTAAACTATCTAATTTATGGTTCCACTGCCTACGTAAGTTATTGGTTGTTTATGATATGTCTCTACTGGTTATGGATTAGGCGACTCTGTAGGAAGAGATCTGATTATTATGATATACAAGGCTAAAGAAGACGCTGTTTAGGGGCGAAACTGATCAAAAAGACACAGATAGCTTTTGGAGGCAACAGAAAAATCAGGTTTGATGTCCACGTCACCTTGGTTTCCCATCATGTTAATCAAAAGCAAATATCAAAAGATATGTCAGTAATGAAGTATTACTGGATATTTATATCACAAACTGTGAAAGTCCAAAATATATAGATAACTCTAGCTTTTATTTCAATCCCATGAAAAGGCCAAATCTATTTGGCTCTAGCCAGACTGACTGTGCATCCTTGTTATAAGGGATGGAGGACTGAGTGTTAAAATTGGGAAAGCGTAATTTGCTTAATTATGTACTCACTTCTAAATGTATTCTCATAGAATACATTCCTAACGGAATGTTAACACTCATGCAGAAAGCCTAGTGGCGGTAATGCCATTTTCGGGAGACACAGGATATAGATCACAAAGGGCTTACCCGATTTCTGGAAAAATAGTACTGTTATCTTTAGATAACTCTTTGCACTAAAACAAAAGATAACATAAATTCTGATTTATAGAAATGCAGAGATAAAGTGCGCAATATTAGCGTTATTTATTTATGTTTTGTGGAAATGCCAGATGAAGGTTTATAATGTATGTTTTACAAAATGTTTATATGTATTTTATTACAGATGTGTTTGCGGATGTCAATAAATATGGTATTTTTTGTTAATGGTGACTCTCAGTCATTTTTGGGTGGTGGGTTGGCAGATGATTGTAACATTTTTATTTTGTTGTCTAGAGTTAAATGTGTCACTTTGCCCCCCAAATCAGGAAGACGTAGCTTAAACAAGCTAGATCTCAAATACAAAACTACAGCTTGGCTTCTGTACTTTACTTGCATCCCATCTCCACTACTACTTTCTCACTACCTCTTCTATTTCTGCTTTCTATTGTAATTTTTTTTTTTTTAAAGTGTAATTTAAGTGTCAGCTGAATTACAACTTCACCAGAAACCATATAAAAAAGAAATGACATCACATACTATAATATTTCTGGAGAAATATGGACAATTAGGTAATTGAGAAAATTAATAACATACCCAACATAACTAACTGTAAAAACATATGTTGATGTTTGGAGTTGATGTTTGGAGTGCAATCGTACATTTTTTTTTAGTGGTTATGGTGTTAAGAATATATGGGTGAAGACCCTTGTTTTTTTGTCAAACCAATTTGACCAGGTGCCAGGAGGTGGCTGGCTGGTCACCTAAGGGAGCTCCAGGAGCGTGCTTAATCGGTTAGACAGAGTAGGCACCTGCTTTGCACAGATGACCAAGATATACTGGGCCCAGTGGCGTACATGCAGGAGGCCCAGCCGCCCTGCGACCCGGTATATACACCAGTGTGACCAGCCTCTTCTCCTGGGGGGCACAGGAGCTGGCCACCTCAGGGCCCCCCCGAGGCTGGCCCTGGTGTCACCGGGCAGCCGGTGTTGCAGACTCGCGAGGGAGCTCTCTGCCCAGCTCCCTCGCGCATTTCACTGATGCCGGAGCCAGAATATGACGTCATATTCCGGCTCCAGCATCAGTAAGAGGCACGCAAGGGAGCTGAACAGGAGGATCTCAGTCCTCCCTCGCACGCCCGCAGGACCGGCCATGTGTGTGTGTGTTAGTGTTAGTTTTTGTGTCAGTGTGTGTGTTACTGTGTGTGTATCTGCTAGTGAGTGCCAGTGAGTGTGTTAGTTTTTGTGTGTGTTAGTTTGTGTGTGTCTGTTGTTGAGTGTGTGTCTGCTAGTGAGTGTCAGTGTGTTTTAGTTTGTGTGTCAGTGAGTGTGTGTGTGTGTCAGTGAGTGTGTTACTGTGTGGGTCTGTTACTGAGTGTGGTTTTTTTTAGTTTGTGTGTGTCTGTTTGTGAGTCTGTTTGATGTCTGTTAGTGAGTGTGTGTTTGTCAGTGAGAGTGTATGTTCTGTAAGTGAGTATGTATGTGTATGTCTGTCAGTGAGTGTGTATGTATGTATGTCGCTGAGTGTGTCTTTGTCAGTAAATGTGTGTGTCTGTTAGCTAGTGTGTATGCGTCTGTTCGTGAGAGTGTGTATGTGTTTAGCACTTACCTTTCTCCAGCGCCGGACTCCCTTGGTGCTGGGGATCCCTGACCCTAGTCGCGCTCGCATTCAAATCGCCCATAGGAAAGCATTACTCAATGCTTTCCTATGGACATCCAGCTCCTGAGACAGCCACTAGAGGCTGGATTAACCCTCAGTGAAACATAGCAGCTGCAGGGTTAAAACTAGAGGGACCTGGCACCCATACAACTTCATTGAGCTGATGTGATCTGGGTGTCTGTAGTGGTCCTTTAACCCCTTAATGACCAAACTTCTGGAATAAAAGGGAATCATGACATGTCACACATGTCATGTGTCGTTAAAGGGTTAAGTGTGTGTATCTGCATGTACTGGCATACATACCGTGGTGACCCCTGCGACTCCTGCGACCGGGTGTCCACTGCCATGTGTTGTGGCCCCAGCCTGCGCAGACTAATTTTCAATTTTCGCACCGGGGCCCCATGGGTCGTGTGTATGCCACTGACCGGGCCATATTGCAAGAGGGAGGCAGCAGCAACAAGGAAGCACTGTCCTCGCTGATGCTCTTCCTGCTGCTTACTGCTCACTTGCATGCACTCTGTGGTGATGCTGGGAGACAGAATATGAAATCACTCCGGCCCTGCATCCCTAAATAGCGTGAGGCAGCAGTGAGGAGCAGAAAGAGCATCAATGACGCTGGACCCCAGGGAGAGGACCCAGAGGACTAATAAAGGTAGGAAGGATAATGGGCCTAATAAAATAAATCAATAAGAAATAAAATGAATTTGTGAGCGTGGGTGCAAGAATGTGTAAATGTGTGTGTGTCTGTCAGTGTGTGTGTTTGTCAGTAAGTGTGTCTGTAAGTGTGTGTTTCCAATTGAACTGGAAAATAAATTCAATTCATTTCTTTTCAGATCAGCTATACTGTCTAAGATATACTGTTTTGGCCTAGATGTTGCAATACCTTTACTCTTTAACAGGGCAAGGAAAAGATTGTGGACAGAGAGGGGCACTGTGAGGATTTGTTGCACAGAGCTCCTAACGGCCTAAGGCCGGACCTGTCTGTCGGTGTTAGTGTCTGTCAGTGAGTCTTTTAAATCACTGAGAGTGTGTGTCTGTCATTTAGAACGAGTCTGTCATTTAGAGTGTGTCTGTCAGTGTATGTGTGTGTCTGTCAGTGTTTGTGCTTGTCAATGAGTGTTAAAATCAGTAAGATTGTGTCTGTCATTGGGATCTGTGTCATTGTGTCTGTCAATAAGTGTGAGTCTGTCAGTGTGTGTCAAATCAGTGAGTGTGTGTCTCTCAATGAGAGTGTGTGTCTCTTAGTGAGAGTGTGTGACTGCCAGTGAGTGTGTGTCAAATCAATGAGTGTGTGTGAATGTCAGTGAGAGTATGTAATAGTCAGTGAGAGTGTTTCTGATCACAAAAAGAATGAAGGTTATAGGTGGAGAGGTGGAGTCGTTAGAAACATGCATGTCTGGATTGGACATTTGCAAAGGGGAGGAGTTAATAAAGAGGACCATACCCACCTGGGAGTGTTAACAAAATCTGCCCCCAGGTGTCTGTGACCCTAGGATCAGCAATAGCTGAGTTTTATGATTTTCCAGATCTGCTATTTTTTTTACCTACATTTTACTATCCAGATTTCATCATTATCTTCACCACATTATGTGCTAGCTCAAAATGGTGTAATGTTTGTGTAGGAATCAAAAGGGGGGTCAGGAAAAAAATTCAGTTCTTGCACGCCTTACGGCCACACCTACGGTTTCATCTATATGCAGTGCCTCACCTCAAAATCTGTCAGTCCTTTAAGTCTGTGTATGTATATATCTTTATGCACAGAATGCAGTAAAACCTGACTGATTTAGTTACGTGCGCAGTCAGCAGCAATCAAATTTCCCCTGTTCACAAAAGATGTAAAAAACAGGTATTTAAGCATAAATCTGTAGAAAGCATGCGATCTTCTAGATTTGAACTATGAGTGTTCCTAGTTGCACGCAGAATACCAAGATAAATTCAGAGAGTCTTAAGCCAGTTACCGAGTTTTGCGTATGTGCACGCCACCTTTGCACGCAATCTTTTTCAGCAGAATCCCCCCCCACCATATCACCAGTGACACTCAAAAACCCCTTCATTTCTCCCTGTCCTATATATCTATTGCTGGATCCTGGAGAATAAGGATAGCGGAAACGTCTCAGCCATATCCTGGTTGCAGAAGACTTACTGGAGCCGATGATCTGCTGGAGATGTTCTGCTAAAGAAAGTAGTTCAGAGTTTTATTTTGTTGGGTTATTTATTTATTTATTTTTATTAATACATCATGCAAACACTTTACAAATTGTTTTTTTAGTTTTAAATTTATCCTGGTATGCAATTTGAAATAAAAAAAGTCTGCTGTACCATATATGGCGACTAGAGGCATCTAAAGTGCCATGCAGTAATTCCAATAATAAGAGCAGAACAGTTTCTAGATGGCTAAATTCCAAAACTTGCTATCCACCACAATCCTAAACTTCCATGGTGTGTTCTAATTTGTACAGGAAGCGATTCTGTAATGCTAAACCTCCCCCAATAAAGTCTCTCTTTCTCCCTATCTCCAGCAAGCCAGTGTCCATCTAAAAATATTGCATCTGCTCATATCTCCCTATCCATATCCTCCTCTTACTCGTAAACCTCTCCCTATCTCCCCACCTCACTTTCGCATCCAGTAGTCTCTCTAACAATATTCATTTCTTCTCCCACATGACTACCTCTTCTCCATATCGCCCTTCCACACTTGGGTACATCTCCCCCATATTCCCTGTCTCCCACCCATGTTCACTATTTTCCCCACATCTTCCCATACTTGTGTTCCCATTCTCATCTTTTCAGTTATGTTGAGGAGGAGAGTATATTTAAAAGAAGTAAAACTACTACAACAAGAAGACATAGTCTAAAATTAGTGGGGCAAAGGTTTAAAAATACTGTCAGGAAGTATTACTTTGTAGAGAGGGTAGGGGATGCATGGAATAGCAATCCAGCTGAAGTAGTAGACAGTTAGGAAGCTTAAGCATGCGTGGGATAGGCATAAGGATATCCTAGATATAAGATAAGGCCAGGGACTAATGAAAGTATAGATTGTACAAACTAGATGGGCCGAATGGTACTTACCTGTCGTCACATTCCATGTTTTTATGTTTATCACACTTGTGTCCATCTTACCACATCCCCCAACAAGAGTTTTCCATTTCCACTCATTTGTGTCTCATTACATTTCTCTATATATTAGTATCCTGTCCACTAGGAACTCCTACTTGTACTCTTTTGGACCTCCTACTTGTACTTCTGCTTGTGTCTCTGCTCATCTCCTTCCATATGTTTATCTTCCCCTTGCCTTACACTACTGCCCATATTGCCCCTCACACCATGTGTCTAGAAGTAGGTTTGATAGACTACTGACAGAGTTCTGGACGTGCATTTTGTTCTTTCAGGTTTCATTATTGCTCTTTAGTAAACACATACTTTGTGTGAATTGAGAGGCAGGTATATATAACATTACAAATTGACCTTCCACATATGGAGAATGCTGTCAATATGCCATAAAAGAGCATCAGGAAATCCAGACATAGAGAGGTCAACTAGGTGTTCACCAAGGTTCTGCTGAGCTGAAT